AACTGCTGCCCAAAAAATTGTAAAACAAGATGTTTGCTGTTTATGGCTGTCTTTAACCTCCCTGAAGAATTTATAGCATGTTTTATGAATGTGTATGTGTGTCTGGGGAAGGCTTTCTGCTGGGCAGGAAGTTTGTTCTCCAAGAATGTGGCAGCATTTTCTTGCATGCACAAGTGGATATGGCTGGTGCAACATTGGATAGCGCAGCTGGAGGCTGTGCCTGTTGGATGGGCCATTGGCATGACAACTACTCCTGACTTGTTTTGATCACAAGCAAACTTGCCAGCTTTTGGTCATACAGAAGTGCCATATATTTATGATACATATCAGGATGTTTGCAGTTCAGCTCTTAAAGGCTGCAATGTAGTGCCGAGCACTTTCTTACCATTCCATGTTTCCACTGGTTTGTATACTACCAAACTACTTGAATGTTGCAATGGCTCTGATTGAGCCACTAGTTTCCCTGCCTCCTCCTCCTCCTCCACTCCTTCTCCTTGTCAACAAGAATATTTAGCATGAAACACAGAGCTTACGCATGACAATGTTTTTGTAGAGTTCTTTGGTTGCTTCAAATGTGGTTTTTAATGTTTAAAGACTCTAAAGGAATTAAATTAGCATTTGATAAGCTTTTTGCGAAGTAAAAACACCCCTTTTTTCCTGCAGATACAAATTTTAACTTCTGTCAGACTAAGATACAGAGAATGAGGGAAAACTCATTCAGCATGCTGAGCATCTTCCCAAGAGGAATGTACTTAGGTGGGGAAAGTGCTGTTCTCCTAAGCATTTTATTTAAAGAATTGCCTTTTATTCACTTATGACTGAAGCCCCATTTAAGAATAAAATAAAAAAAAAAAGGGAAATCTCTTCGGACAAGTGGCATCGACATCCTAGTGCTAGATCTGTTTGTCTGCTCTATCCCTTGGTGCTGGGAGAGTGTAATTCAATGAGAATGAGCTCACATGCTTCTCACGGGCTGGTATCAGGGACAGCTACCTTTGAGGTTTGAATCTGGCAAGGGGCCTTTGGCTCCTCCCACATACCAGCCAATCTTGATGCAGACATCATACCCAAACACCATAAAGTATTGCACAGGGCCTCTTGTTTGAGTCTGTCCAACAGAGAGAATTTATAGAGCCCATTTTTCTGCAAGGGCAAATATTTTGCTTTTTGGATAAGCTTTTTGGATACTGCCTCCATTGTGAGTTAGATACAAAAGCATCTCCCTTCTTATTTGTATCTGTGTGGATATATATGCACATCTGCAAGAGCAGATGATTGACATTTTTCCTTTCTTTTTTAACGAAATTTGCTACCAACAAATTTTATTGGTAGCAAGCTTGAAAAATAATTTAAATGTCTTTGGAACATGTAAATAAATTTCTAAATCTGTGTAAAAGAAAACCGACTGTATTTAATGGAACATTTATACATTTCGGAGTAACTCAGTAGTTTAATAAAGTTCCCATTTTCTGGGTATGAGGTTTGTACTTTCTCCTTTCTATTATACTCTTGGCTTTGGTCCTGGAGATCTCAGGCAACTGAGTCTGGATGTGTGACTGTGGGAAGGACTCTACAGAAGAAATCGTGGTTGTTTGAAATCCTGGGTTTGTTCTTATATTGAGACATGCAGTTGAACTGCAGTTTCTGAACATTTCTGGGCAGGGACTTTCTGCACAGGTTTGGGTATAACATAGGAGGCATTAGATGGTAAATGCAGCACTTCGTGTACACACTATGTTGTGGCCAAGACAAATGTTCATGGCACTAACAAGTCTGGATCTGTCGCTATCTTCATGCCTTTGAGCTTAGCACACTTTATTGAGAAATGCTGGTCTACAGCTCCCAGGACTATGGAAATACAGAACAGCCTGTTTTGCAGGAGCATGTGGTGACTTTTGCACTGCAATTGTGAATTTTTCAGTTTTGTCCCATTCCCCCATTGTTTTTTATTCTTTATTGCATATGAAAGAACATCTATTCAGCAGAAAAGAAGCTAAATCCAGCCAGCCTCCTTGTCCTCAGGGAACACTTCCTCTTCTCTGCTATGGAAATAATTTCTGGACTGGAATTGCTGCTTTTTGCAAACTTGTTTTGCCCCTGACTTTTCTAGTTTGGTGAGTGTCTCTCCCTGTTTGGAGTGGCAAGCACCTGCTGTCTGCCAGTGCTGAGTGACGGCTGCTGGTGGAATCTACGTGGGAAAGCCCTTCACCATCAAAAGGTGTGTCTCAAAAGTTTGTTTTTTTAAACTTCATTTTTATGTCAAAAGGGTTTATAATTACCAATTCATTATTTAAATTACCAGGTGTCAGAGACAGCGATGCCCTGTAGGTTAAATTTCCCATGCCATACAATTTTCCCAAAGGCTAGCAGGGCACAGCACTCGCCTGATTGCCATTGGCTTTCAAGAAAGGACTGAGACCTTGTCTCCTGCTTGGTTCTACTGAGTGGCTGGTGCTTCTGGCTGTGACCAGGGTGCATCAGTCTCCTCCGGTCACTACTGAGGTGGCAGCGAAGTGGGGGAGCCCAGGGGACCATGAGGGTAATGTGGAGCTGTGGAGCTGGTGAAGATTGAGAGATAGAGGGAAGCTGTGGGAGTAAGAGGTGCTGATTCATACTTGGAGGAATTTAATATTCACATCTCATGTGGGAACTGCATACAAATGAGGGGCTCAGTGGATCCCTCATTACAACAGCTCATTAAATTATCAAGAAAGACAGAAAAGGTTCCCATCACACCTCCCACAGTGTACAAGCCTGGACTATGTCATTCAAAATAACCAGTCGGTATCTTTCTAATCTTATGGTCCGTCTGTGTGGATGGATGCAGACAGCCACACGCTGGCTCCTGCCTATCCCTTCCCGAGCCAGCTCCGTGCTGGAGGTGTTCCCTGGGCGCTGACCCCGCTCTCCCAGCCTGGGGCTGGCACTGCACATCCATCCTCCCGGGCTCGGCTGCTCGGCCAGCCCTGCCCAGAGCCCCGGCAAGGCCTGCCCGCTGCTGCGTGTGAGAACCTAATCCCTGTGAGAGAGGCCCAGCTAAACACTGCTCATTTCAGATTTGGCTGCACAATGTTTTCCATTAACTTGATACATGCTGTTTACATCCTCCTGCTGCTAGTGCCAGAGATAACTGCCTTGGGAACAGCTCCCTACAGGTATTGTTAACAGCTGCTGGAAACAAAGGAATTTGTTTTAGCCACGTCACTATCTAAGTAGCCAAAAATACGTTACTTTTTTATTACTTGCAAGCTGATATTAAAAACTGTTGTGTTCCCCTGGTTGAAAGATGCATTCTGGAAATCTTGTATGCTGTTAAAGCTGGCAGCTGAAGAAGTCTCTCTGCAAGCCTAAAAGAAAGTGACACCGGGGCGAAGGACATGTGAAGGTACTTGCTGCAAGGTGTGTGATCAGCACCATCGTCATCAAATACTTCCAGTCAGAGAAAATTGTTTCAAGCCAGTGGTTGTTCCTTGCCATATAATTGGTTTCCATGCCTTTTCAGCCTGAAGGCTGAAGTTGCAGGATAGGCACTGGTTGCCTCAGCTGGCAACTTGCTCTGATTAAAAACAAACAAACAAAAATCCTCAATCTGCAGCTGCTGATGTTCTGACTTTCAGCATGGAAGCACTGGACATACAAGCAGGTTGACTTTAGTGCTGTTGTTCAGAGTGAGGTCGGCAGTGGCTGAGCAAATGCTCAGCAAGGGTGGCCTTGTGTGCATGGAGGGGAGAGAGTTACATGAGTTTCTGAGACCATTCACACCATCTGAAGCAGACAGATTCCCTTTGAACAGAGATGTGCCTTTTCTGCTTTTGATCAGGTCTGAACAATAGCTCCTTGTTTGTCCTGTTCTATCCTTGCTGGGAAGAAGAGGAGAAAAAAAGCAAGAAACTTTGATGCTTCCTTGTGGGTCAAGTGGAGCAAAAATATAAACTCTACCTACTTTAGTTTCTGTCTTTTTTAAACAATAGGACTGTGACTCATAAATAGAGCTGTTAGCTTCAAATTACTCTCTGCTGCACAGGAGCAGCAGATATTTTCAGTGGCTGCAGTGATCCAGCAGCAAAATAAGCATAAAAGCAAGAACTCTGTTTAGCTCCAGAGTACATCCCAGTGACAGGTTTCCTTTTCTCTGAAAACAAACCTTAGCAGCTGAACCCAGACAATGTTCATTTGGGCACCCAAGAGAGCTGGCTAGAAAGTACTTGATTCTGCTTCTAAATGAATTGTTTAGAAGGGAAATAAAATGAAGTAAGATTTTATATCTTTCAGGTGGGCTAGCACAAGTTGTGGGAAGGAACTAAATATATATCTAAGGTGGATATGATGTTAGTAATTACTGAAGCCCAGTAACTGGTGGGCTTCGTAGGGAAAAGTGCACAAGGAAGAAAGTGGCAACAAATAGGCACAAGTGGAGACAAGTGTTCAGAACCCTTACAGGTCCCTTTCTGCTGTTTCTAGCAGCTCTAGGTTTAAACCACAGTCTCCAGGAGAAACCAGGACTTCCCTGTGCCTGACTCCACTGAATCGCTGCAGAAAATTATTGTCTGAGACTGCTGGAGTCACTTGAGTTCTGGAGCTGAAAATAGGACACGTTGCTAACTTCATGTTTTGGTTTCTGGTGTTTCTCACGCAGTATTTTAAACTGATTCAGACGTATTCCCTATGCAAATCTTTAATCCCTGTTTGTTAGGAAGAAAAATGGGTGTAAATGTGGTTTTGATTTTTTTCCCCACCCTTTTACAGCTGTATTTACCCCTATATGTCCCCTGACTGCTTCCTCCCACTTCTGTTTCCTCTATTATAATCTTCCATCTTTCTCTTAAATTTTCCGTCATCATTAATAACTCATCCCTCTCTTAATCTTATTTTCACGTGGCAGGCTTTCTGTACTCTTCCATTTGCTTCATCCTGCTTTCTCTCTGTTTATTGATTCCAGTGGCTGTTTTGCTCCATCTCTTTCTTCTTTCTGCCGAGTCCTTCCCAAACGTCTGTCTGCAAACTGAGACCTTTTGCCGCCAGCTCCCAGTAAGGTGTGAGAATAGAGGAACAAAATGAACTCAGGCTTTTAAGGCTTGCATGTCTTTATTTTGCAGCTTTACCTTGTTACTGCAAGCGAGTCGCTGGGGGAGGCCATCACTGAGAAGTGCACCATTGCCTCTTTTCCCTGTGAACATCGCTCACCCCCTACGCCGAGCAGCTTATGAGGGAGCTGAGAATCTGAGCACATGGGGTGATTTTGCAGAGGTGGGTGAGGAAAGTCTGTTCAAATAAAGGTGTGACTAATTTAGCTCTGCGGTGTCTAAAAAGCCCTAATGAAAGACTGTCGACGACAGCTTCAAAAGCCGTTTTGGTGAAGTGATTTCTAACCCCACCCATGGTCTTGGTACCGAAAGCAAATACATTTGTGCTGTCAGTTTGGTGCTGCTTCCCTGTGCACCAGAGCAAAATAATTGTATTACTGTTCCTTAAATTTGCACGTCGCTTTTCATGGTATGGACTAAGGCTCCAGGATATTTTGGGTTTCTCTGATAGGGTAAGGACAACAACCTCTTTATAAGAGCACATGAAAGCCCAAAGATAGCTCTTGAAGAACGTATACTCAATTTTCCTTCTGCTGAAAGTAAGCACTACGTGAAAGGGAGAGCACTTGGAACACATGCATAGTATATTCATACCATAAGCACTGCTTATTGCTGCAAGTACTTGGTGCTCACATGTGTTCTTTCTAAAAAGAACAGAATCCTGTTTAAGACAGTCTTTCCTCCCAGGAGGTTATAGCCTAAGCAATTGAATAATTGAGCTGAGAAGGCATCTGCAGAGGTCACCCAGCCCAGCCTCCTGCTCCAAGAAGAGCCAACTTCACACATAGGTAACTTTTCTGTGGGCCATAGGGTGTTGTTCTTAGCCCAAAGTAGTTATAAGAGGGAGGAATAGGATTTTGCTACTGAAATAAGGGTTCTGAAGATGGGAAAACCCTAAGGAAAATGCACGTCTTCTGTAGGCTATAGCTTGAAAGCTGGGAATATATTGCAATTTTTAATGCTAGCCTGTCTGAGGTGGCTGATGGTGATGTGAAGTCAGTAAAGCAAGTAAAAGGCAGGAACTTGATAAGAAATGTGAGAGAAAACTCAAAAGCAGCACACAACCTACTGAATGCAGGAAAGAAGGAAGTTTGTGGCTTAAGGGACACCAGAAGTAAAAAAAGAACACTGGAAATTTCAAAGGCTTTGTGGGAACAGTGGACATTTGCAGTTTGGATGAAGAAAGAGGAGAGGTGAGAGATGCTCACTAGTCAGGCTGAGGATTGGTCCAGCAGTGTTAGACTAAGCACAGATGAATGTGGACAGGTGCTGGCAGCTCCAAAATTAATCTGTGGGAAACTGAGGAATGACCCTTATGAGCTCAACAGCTCAGCCTTTCCTGGCAGAGGTTTGCTTACCCTCTTTTTAAAGGAATTAAGGACCAAATAGAATAGTAAGTTACAGTAAGTGTTCCCAATGACTAACTTGTGTCCTGCTGGATGGGATGCCTCTTTATGCATACACTGTTAAGCAGCAAATTTCCTGCTTCTGATGCTTGTTTTTTCTTGCAGTGTGGCTTTATGAAGTAAATCAGCACCCTCACACTTAGAGTAGAGCTGCTGTAGTCATCCCAGATAATACAAATACTCATATGGAGAGTGCAAAACAGCAGCTAACCGGGAAGCCAAGAAATCTAGGAAGTATTTTTACATTGCTGCAAAGTACTGCCTGAGTTACTGTGAGGGATTTGATGCAATCTGTTGCCAGAGACTTGAAACTCAACTGGATGGAGCATAGGCTGGATCATCTAGCAGCTCCTGCTCTTAGTGGCCTCTGCAAAATATGAGACTGGCTCATACCCCAGTGGAGATGGTCCCAGATCAGAATTCATGCTCTGAAGGACCTTACATATTGAGTAAGGCAGCAAAAGAGATGGCAGTAGGGAGAATACTAATTGCATAAGCCAAATCTTAACCTCTGCCCTCTCTGTGTGTATCTGGTAGGTATGTAACCAACTTTCATGGACTACTTGGATCTACTAAACAATATAACCACCAAATCAGACTCTGCAAGACAATTTACAGATGAGTTGCCCACTGAAGATATGGCACAGAGGTTGTGGGTGGGGTGTTAGCAAGGGGAGCTCTTTAAACAGTTGCGAGGAATACCCCTGAAATCTTGGTCTGTTCCTCATCTGTGCAACAAGCAGAGGAGCAAGGGCCCTGGGCACAGCCCTGTGGCTGTGGGATCCCAGAGGCTGTGGTGTCCCCAGCCCTGCACAAAGACAGTATCTGAAATAATGTGAAATGTGGCCTAAGCAACCCATGGGTGAAGGGCATATGGAAATACAGCAGGAGACGTTTTCTAATTGCAGAAGCAACTAACAATATTTAAAAAGACCATAAAGCAGAGATTTGCAAGAATGTGTAGCTTAAAAATTCAGCATGAATTGGCAGTGGGGTCCATGACTAATCACAGAGGTCCATTGTATGATCGAGTTTAAACTCTTGTTTAATGAAAGTACTTCTCTGAATAAGTCACACTGAAAGTACAGTAAATATCTCTGAATAAAATGTCCAGCCTTAATATACAACATTTTAAATGACAGAGAAATCACCCCAGCCTTTGGTAAATAGTTTGCACACATAATCACGCTTTCTGTTTAAAACTGTCATAGGATTTCTAGCACAAATTAATCGGGGTGGAGTGTTTAATTGCTAGTAACTGGATCGGTTACAATGTTGTATGCCAAACTGGCAAGCTCTTATTATCATATTTCTGCTTGATTAGGCCTTTGCAGGAAAGGAATTGTGATTTCCCCCACTGAGGGTCCACAGTGGATCTGGGCCAGCCTGTGCTCCAGAGACAGTGTGGGGTGTGGAAACACTTGGGAGATGAGTCCCAGTGTGCTTCCACTGCCAAGCTGGGATGGGGGAACCTTGTTCTCAGCCTGCTGGGTGGCTTTTGGCACTGGGGGCATTGTTGCTGGCTCTTGGCCTCAGGCTGCTCCCCCCTCAGCTCCATGCAGTCAGAGGCTGCCATGGAATAGCGGCTCTGGCTGGCAGGGTGCTGCCTGCCTGCTGGCCTCAGGGAGACTCACAGGAACAATTTGGAAACCTGTTTAGCAGAGTTACGTTTGACAGCAAAGTTAAGTGGAAGCTCTGGGAGGTTGGATCTGTGTTTCCTGCAGTGTTTTCCCAAGGTAGGTAACTCAAGCTCAGTCTGTGTTACACTACAAATGTGCCTAACAAAAGGGACTTGTTTCAGAAATACATGATAGTTGAGTTTAAAGGTTATTTAACCAGGCGTTCACTATCTGGCCAGTTAGAGTCCTCATGCTTCTGGAAATCACCAGAGCTGAATTTAGCCAGACCTGTTGTACTTGCTGTTCCTTTCTCCCTGATGGGGACAATGTGGATGCAGATAAACCTTACAGCTTTAACCTCAGTTGTCTTCTGCATCTGGCCTGCAGCTCTTTAGTCTGATCCTCCTGTCCCTAAGTGAGGAATTGGTATTTTTCAGTAAACCTCTCTTCCTTCCCCTTGGGGCTGTATTGAGCATTCCATAATTAAGGTGACAGTGATAATGTCTAATGACTCATTTACTGACATCCTTTAAAAAGGGAACTCTGACTCTGTCCCCTCTTCTCCTGGCTTTCCTTCCCTCCTTCTCTTCCACTAAAGCTGATGAGAAACCTTGAGCTATCCTACAGATTAAATGGCAGCTATGCCACTTGTTTCTCAATTTACCATTTTTTTGACCATTGACTATTTTCTTTATTTTAAGGGTGCGGTTAAGAAGAGACAACTCTTTTTCCCCTTTCTTTTCCTTTTTCTCCCAATCTTTTTACTTTTTTCCTTGAGCAGACCTGAGCTGTGCTGCTCCCTGATCACTCCTGTTCCCTGTGCTATGGAAATGAAACATCCCTCAGTTGAGCACAACACGTTTGCTGCAGTGCCTCCAGGTGACTATAAAACAGGTGGCCTCATCTTGGGTCGTTCTCCTTTATTGATGTTATTGCAGAGTCCTGTGCTATGGCAACCAAAGGAGCTGCACCCTCTGGAGCTGGAGTGGGGCGGAGGGAGGAAGGAGTCCACGACTGCTGTCAGGGACCAGCCCTGCTGCAGCCGGCGCCCTGCCAGCGCGGGTGTTTATCCAGCACTGCGATGAGTCACGGGTGCCATGCTCCACCAAAGCCACCTCCAGCAACCTCCCCATGAATCACTGCAGCCTGAGAGGACTTGCAACAATTCCTGGGCCATCAGAAGGATGATCTCATTGCCTGCTGAGTGGAACAAGGATAAAGTCATGTGGAACTCTGCTCTTGGAGCCAGGAACATGGCATCCCAGCAAAGAGCTCTCAGGTGACCTAATAGGGCATGTGATTCAGCGTTACAGGACCAAACAGGGCAAAGATCCTTCTCTCAGGGAAGGAAGGAAGGAAGGTACTGCAATATACAAGGAATTTGAGGTGACTTTCATAACAAAACTTGTAAGGCAAGAAGGAATGATATGGCACAGGATCTACAATAGACTTAGCTTTAAGCAATTCCCTTTGCATTGACTGTTTTTATCTCCTTTTTTGATTCTCCAAGTGGTATTGCCTATTCCAAGTGATCACAACGTGAAGTCTGATGATGTAATCTTTGCATGCTGTGTCCAGCCCATGGAGCTGAGTTACTCTGATACTGGTTCAAACTTACTTGCCAAACCCAGCTGAAGGATTAGCTCAAGTTTTTTTCTAGCTGAAATAAAGTGCTTTTGCCTCTTCTAAAAAATTAATTTGTGGCAGTTTTCCATTTCAATTGGATTCGTTGTTATTTCTTAGAAATTGCTGATTCTGAGCAGGAATCAAATGGTCTTTTCTAATTTCAAATACAAAAGACAAATAACCCTTTGTTCCTTCTTGTAAGGCAAGCTTTTAAATGCTATGAAAAGTGCTAGTTATTTTAAATGCATGGACTTCTAAAATCAAAACCAATGCATAAAATTGATAACTTTTAAAAATCATCTTGAAATTGTAAAAGGCTGGTAATTTTACAAAAAAATTAAAATCAACTCTTTTTTTTTTTTTTTTTTTTTTTTTGGTTAAGAAAGGTTGGGGATGGATTTGATGAAGTTGGAATTTGCATCTATGACAATGAGGCAGCTCAAAGCTACTTCTTGCCTCTATTGCTGTCAGCTGGAGTTCAGATCTTAGAAGAAAATGGAGGAAATTTATTCCCAGAGATGCCTGGGGTTTCAAGGTGCCACATCTGCTGGCTCCAAAGCATGCGTGGGAAGCCAGTGGGCTGCAGCAAGGAGCAGTCACCAGGGCTCAACTCCTGCACATGTTTGCTCCTTGAACTGTGAGTGTTGGCCATCATCCCTCTTCCTGGGCAAGGCATGCCCACGTGTTGGTGCTAATTGGATAGTGCTGACAATCCCCAAAGTAATATTTTGGCAGCTGCTTTCCATTCCTTGACTCTGTTAGGTGCATGTTGGTGGCTAACCGCATGTAACAGCACGGGTTAGGTAATGAAATCACTGGGGTAAACACTGATAGAACTGAAGAAAATTATCCCAGAAGGGACTCCCTCAGTGTCGACCATCAAACAGCACCACCCACCTCACATCCATTAATTTTCCCTTCCCCAGGCCTGATGTTGTCTTGCATCATGGAAAAAAGCCTTATGAAAATCTCAACTAAGGATAAATGTGGTGGTTCTCAGCAGCAGGTTGGTCCAATGGTATCAAGCGCCACAGCTGAAATACTTGTGAAAAGTGGCCTGCTATGTTTTCCTCATCTGATTGCTTCGCTGGTAAAAGGGATGAGCTGCTACACTAGAAAAAAGAAGCCTGGGGGATGGACTGCATGACCTGGGAAGCTCTCTAATGACTTTGTATACAAGATGGGAGCTATCAGGTAAAAGGCTCTTTACCATTCCCAGGAGGGTTACTTTGCTGTGGAAGAGTGCAACTGAGCATGGCCCAAGCCAGAGCTGGAGCACCGAGGGCACAATTTGCACAGCCTCTGTGAATACCAGCTCTCTGTTCTGGCTTGCAGGGTTTTAAGGAAGCGAGCTGCAATTGTGATGACATCAGGCAGCTGACATTAAATTCAGGCTTGGTGAACTCTGAACGTGCCTGCTCCATGGAGGCACATCTGGAGCCTTTTGAAAGGCCTTTCCTTAGCTGCTGTGCTCGCTCTTTTGAGTCAAAACCACAGCGTGTGTGGTGCTGCCCAAATGCAGCAAATGACACAAACCTCACACTTTGGGAGAGATGTCTCAACAGCTTTCCCTGCAGCATGTTGGGTAATCTTGAAAATGCTGATATTTTTCTTTAAAAAGTCAGAGTATGTGTGCATCAGAAGGGGTGTGGGGTAGTTGCTGCGTTCCACATCTCACTCCTATGGGGGCTGGAAGGGCAACACTGGCAGTTGGTTCCCTGAGGTGGTCCCTGCTCTCTGAAAGCTTAAGAGATGAGAAGGTGGGCAAAGGAGCTAAAATCTTTGAATTGTGGCTATAAATGGAAGGGGGGGGGGTGTGGTTTGAGATGTTCTCCACTGAAGCGGCTGAAAAGCCAAAGTGTTTGGAAATGTTCTGAGCACAGAGGAAACAAATTGTTTATGATCCCGCAGCTCTTTCAGGCCTGCTTTATGCACAAATATGGCAAAAAATGATTTTTGAAGAGCTACACGGGGCTGGGGAAAGACAAAGAAGCCAGATCTCTTGGTTGGTTGCCTGGTTTGCTGGAGGGGAAAAGGAGCCCCAGAGCCTCATGCCAGGGAGCAGATCCCTTGGGGTGAGTGTAGGCAGACAGAGGTGAAGCACACTGAGTATACCCCTGATATTCATCAGTGACCAAGCCAAGGCCACAGTCCTGCCAGGCATAGGAGGCAGTGTAGCTCCCACCTCTACATTCTGCTCTCTCTGCAGAGGAGCACATGAGTGAGCATGGTGAGGGCCCAGGACCTCCAGGAAACTTATTCCCAATGCCCCCAAATCAGTGCTCGTGCTCAGCTCTGCAGACTCCTTGTGTTCATGGATGAGAAAGCTCAGTGTGCCTCAAGTGTTTTATCAGTTTATTTGTCATAATAGGATTATGCTTGTGTTCCTCTTGGCTCGGTCCCAGAGGTGCCTTGTATCTGTTAGGAATAGTCGGCAGCCACAGCCAAGCTGTCTTGTTTCAGGATGGCCTGCTGGGGCTGTGTGAATGGCACACCCTAAAGTTAACTGTGAGACTGCAGGACTCCTCACTGCCAGATGTCTTGATTTCTTGAGACTTCAGCATGACCCAGATTGGGAACTGAGGGCTTCCTTTTGGGATGTGCCTGGGTCTAACTAGTGAAATGTACCATGAGGCATCCAGAATATGTGGCAGAGGCAGAGGTCTACACAAACTACTTTATCTAAAGGCACTTTGGATGAAGGAAATGTGTATGGATTCAGTATCTAATAGAAAATATACTCCTTTCTTTAGACTGTTTTACATTACAGATCTATGCTGCTTTTCTGGCAGTTTTTGATATTCTGAGCTTTTGAGAAGCAGAATCCTGATGCTTCCTAGTGAAGAATCTGGCCCTACTGCCACATGTTGGACACAAAGCTTTGCTATTTAATTTTTTTTTTTTTTAAGAGAGAAAGAAGGAGGAACATGGTGGGAAGAGCATAGGGGATGAGATGAGTGAGACAAAGGCGGAGCCAAAGGCACAGCAGGTAGTGACCAAGAGGTGTGAAATGTCAGCAGGTAGGAGCAGGTGCCCTGTATGATTCCTTGAAGAAGAAGCTGTTCCAGGAGCAGTCGGGTTGAGGCATGCACCATTTAAGTGGTGAGTTCTTAATCATTACTCAGGGGAGCAAGACAAATGAGAAATCAATTGAACATCAAACCATTGTTTCTGATTGCCTATGTCGAAAATAAATGATTCATTGAGTGCTTTAATTGATTAATATACATGGCTAGGAGCTTGAGTCTTGATTTACAGATCTCTTCACCAGTCAGGCTGGAAAGCCTTGCTCCCACTCACTTTATTTGTGCAACAAACATCCTTTTCTCTTGGTCAACCCATTTACAAACTTTTTTCTCTCTCTGATTGTTTACTTTGCCTTTAAGAGGCTGGTGATTCCTCTCACTTATATGGTGTTTTTTAATTCTTTTTTTTAATTATCAGGGGAGCCTGGAAGGGATGGGGATGGCTATGCATAAAGCACTGGGCTCTGTGCCCAGCAGGGCAAGTAGACGGCCCCATATTCAGAGAGCTGCAGTTTACAGTGTACCATGGATTTATAGTATCCACTGCCAAATAAGTAGGAAAGAGAACATTTGGTAACTTAAAAGCCTTTTGTGAGATATACTGTGGAGTACTTTGTGTCTGATAATCTGTATGCCCTCTGTAGAGAGCAGCAGCTGCTGGCAGGGGCTGAGGAGGCTGTGCCCTATCCCTGCTACTGTCTCTGTTATCCACATGCCTGAGGAGGAGGTGTTGGAGATCTGCCTCTGCTTTGCCACGGCAGTTTGATAAGTCGTCAAAACAGAAGGGAAACAGAGGGGTGTTTGCTGTAGGTGAGGGGAGGGAATGGTGAGGGAGAGGTATCCTGGCTTGTGTAACCAGTGGGTGGTACCATGGTGGGGAGAGGTGTCAGGACAGCTGCAAGGACAGGGAGGTCCTATCTAGCTGATTCAGGAGAGCAGTTCTCTGGCAGTCCTGACTGAAGGGAGCACAAGCAGAGAAAGGAGGGAAAAAGAAATTTCACAGTTATCTCAGAGCTTATCAGGTGGTTAAGGCAGAGGCAGCTTCCCAATATAGCCCTGTGTGCTCCTAGCCATGCAAAAGCAAATGCCCTGTCTGCCCCTTCACCACCCCAGCCTTGTTATGGCTGGATTCTGCTGGGTTGCATGGCTCTGCCTACGTGTCTCTAATGTGCCCTGAGGTCAGGCTGTGGGAAGCAGAGTTATCTGGGAAGAGCCTTCTCCATCCAAAAATACCATGATGCCACCAAGCTCCTTGACTCATGGCGACCACAACTGAGATGGCTACCAACAAACTGAGCAAGAGAAAACCAACAGCAGGAGAAAAAAATAAAAAAACCCCAAACGGTGGGAATCACTTGCGATTATTTGCCACTAAGTAGAAGAGTCCTAACTTAGCTGCCAGTGGCTGATTAAGAATGGAACCTGACAAGTCGATCACAGGAGCTGTTACGAGATGAATTGGATTTATCTAAGAAGCAATGCTTTTCACCAGGTCGTTTTTCAGTTGATTAACACTTTTAAAAAACACTTTCTTTTTAACACTTTTTAAAAAAAACACTTCTAAAAAGAATATTTAACACTTTTTTTCACTCAGCTGTTTGCTGTGGTGCTGGGCCTGGCAGGGAGAGGGAGACACCACAGGAACTGGAAGCTGCAGGATGGGCAGGAGCTGCTTTTTTTCTGTTCCTGAACTCCACATCATGGCTATGGGGCTTTGGCTGGCAGACCTGCATCAGCCTGGGTCTCCAGCTCTGGACCCACAGGTTTCCTCTCTGATTTGATCAAATGTCTTGGCTGGATCTGTTTGGCAGTGGAACAGCTACAGTGCTGCTACATATAGTAGGTTTTTGGGTGATACATTTTTGCATTGAAATGGAAAGAGCTCATGTCCTGTGTCTGCTCAAGGGAGCCCACACAAATGAGAATAAATCTAGAAACACCTCCTGGTCTGTGCCCAAGCTGTCTCTGGTGCATGGAGGCTGAGTCTCCCACTGCCTGACAGTGTAGCACGAGTGGGTTATCAGCCTCTGTGTTCCAGCCAGGAAAGCTTGGTTTTTGCAATATTTTTGAATTTTGAACGCCTATAAGGGAAGGGTCTGAGTCCTTTCTCCTGTCCAGAGAAGCTGTGCAGGCAGGCACTGGTGGGACAGGCCCTGTGTTGACTATCAGGCTGCAGGAGCTGAGGCAACAACGAGCTCTGCTGAAGCTGGGTCTAGTTGTTCCACTCTTTGATGTGTAACTTCCTTCTTTCAGTAATGATTCAGTGAAGACA